TATATATATATATATATATATATACACACACACACACACACACACGCACATACATTTTTAAAACGTTTACTTAATAAATTAAAAAATCTGTGTAATGTAGAAGAAGCTCTGGTGGCATAGTGCCTAAGGCATTTGACTGTTAACCAGAAGGCTAGCGGTTCAAACTCACCAGCCACTACTCGGAAGGAAGGTTGGGCAATCTACTTCCATAGATATACCGCCTCGGAAACCCAAGGAGGGTTCGCTATGAGTCGGATCTGATTCCATGGGAGTGAGTTTTTAAGTAAACTTACCAATAAAATTGTTAAACATTTTAAATTGCTAGGAATCACTAATTTCTAGTTTTATTTTTTGCTCATTTTTTTTGGGGGGGGCAGGTGGCTTGGAGAAAATCTTGAGTTTTTACACCTTTTCTAAAATCCACAACTGCTTAATGGTTGCACAGTTAGAAGTCAGTAGATGCCAACGCCCTACTATTAGTACTTTCGACAGAGATTTTATCGGGCGTTCAGGGACTCTGGGGAATTGCCAACGTTACCTCACCTTTCCGAAAAAGTCGCGCCCCCCGACACTCCTCTATAGGGATTTCCAGACAATCCTTTGAGCTCACAGGACTTCATCCAAACAAATTTCAAACCATCTCAGACAGCGAACTGAACTCACTGCCTTTCTGTTTAGAAGACTATCCAAACTGAAGACGTTTCCATCTCCCTACATAGAGACTGTAACGCTTTGACAATTGACAGAATGAAGGAAGAAAGGGAGATCGCTGAACCCAAACGCGAACCTTTCTTTTTCTTCCATCTGATTCATTCCTGTGGGCGCTAGTTGGCTTCGGCGTGCCTGGAGGACCCCGCCCTCCGGAGAACCCCGGCTAAGAGAAAAGCAGAAAACACAGTCATCACTCCCACTCTCAAGTGTGACTCATCAAAAGAGGAGTCAGGCGGTGGGGGCGGTTTAGTTGGGCCTATTTTGGCAGGGCACGGCCTGGGCAGGCAGCGCTGAGGCCACTCAGATTCCCGGCATGCTCCACGAGCGGGACCTTCTCAGCTTCTTCGCTGTTGCCGCCGCTGCCGTGGTTGCTGCGCTGGATAAGAGAAGGCGCTGTGGCGGACCTTGTAGAGTCCATCTCTGCTGCTCTTTTTGACTGAGTGGTGTACCTTTCTACTTCGCACCCTGACTGCTGTGGTGTCGAGGGGGAGTCCCTGTGGACACCTCGGCATAGAGTGGAGATGCCTCTTTTTGCTACCAATCCCTTCGATCAGGATGTTGGTAAGTGCTTTTGCCGCTTCCTAGCCATCCCCAGTAGACTCCAGTCCCACTCTGCCCGCGCTCTGCATATATTTTGGACCCTCCGGCCAGGGCCAATAGCTTCCCCTTTACCGACACTCCTTCCTTAAGAGTTTGGAGAAGATTGGGGGCTTGGCGCGTCCTGTTAGGCACTAAGACTGCGAAAGAGGCCTTGAGCTTAGGCTGTGGATGTTGAGAAAGCTGCTTAAGGGGTTCGTGTGGAGAGCTTGGGAGGAGCAGCTGGTGTTCCATCTGGTGCTGGGACAGTGCTTCTGGGAGAACCCACAAGAGTAGGATTATAGCCTTGTACCGAAGTGTTTACGTGGATAGTCTAGCAGAGTATTTTAGATAAGGTTCCTTAAAGGATTTAATTTTTTTTTTTTTTTTTAAACTATACCTGAAGGAGGGAGCTTCTGGTTAGGTAGAATCTCAAAAATGTTGCAGGAGATGAGGATGAAATACGTGGCGACAGCTGAATCCGTGCTGAGAACCTGACCCATTTTTGGTGCCTTTTTTTAGGCTAGGTCTTGAGACTTTAAGGAGTATGGAAGAGGACCTTAATCCAGAAAGGAATTTGAAATGCTAATTTTTTTGGTCGTTTTCTGAATCATTGGATTAGGTTGTATTATACCAATTTAGTGGGTTAGCTTTTCATGGGAGCTCGAGTTTCCTAGAAGAGAATATTGGGATGATTTGAATGCACTTAGAAACCACATTGGCATACAAGTGTGAAAGTATGCCCAATACCATGTCCTTGAGGCAGACTTTAATAATTACACTAGTAAAGAATTGTAAGTAAAATCTTACGGAGTTACTTTAAATATCTTTGCATATTTTAATTTTGAAAGGTGGGTGTTGAATTTTACTGTTTTAACACTTCTTACAGCGTGTTACTGAAGCTGGAGGTTGAAGACTAGAAAAGGGTTCAGTATTAAATATGCCCAAGTTACTTAAACTCTTTGAGTCTTGGAGTCTTCATCTTTAAAGAGGGCAAAACACAACATTCTATTCTGTGATTAAATGAAATAATGTGTAGAGGGCGTACTGTAGTGCCTTTATGTATTTGTCACTTATAAATGATAGTGCTTTTCTTTTTTTGGTGGTACCTGTTTAGAAGAATGTACTGAATCTCAGCAGTGAATGGAACTTTAGACATCACCAATAATACTTACTAAATAATTATTGGAAAATTTCATTTAATTAAAAAAGCACTTAGCATAGACTATGATATACAGTGCTCATTGAGATAAGAGCTAGAACAATGAACAAGACAGGGTTGCTGCTTTCAAGCAGTTTTACAACTTAGTGCATTAATCTCTAGAGCTAATACTTAAAACAGCTTTTTAATACCTATGTCATATGTCTTTAGGACCTTTATGTAATTTTCATAACCCTTTATCATCTACTTCCAACTACCTCATCACCTTTTTGTCCTACTGACTTTTTTAGAAATTTTATTTTTGGTAGTAATATATACAACCAAACATAAATCTGTTCACAATTCCTACATGTGCAGTTGAGTGACACTGGTTATGTATTTCACAAATGTGTCACCGTTCTCAATATGTTGTTGTCGTTATTTGCCGTCGAGTCAGCCCCTATATCTACCTTTATTATAATTGTTTTTGTTAGGTGCCATCAAGTCATTTCTAATTCATAGTGACCCTCTGTACAACAGAACGAAACATTGCCTAGTCCTGCACCATCCACACAATCACTCCTATGCTTGAGCCTGTTGTTTTTTATATCACCATTAGTTTAGATTCTCTGGTCCTTGAAGTTCTCATCTGTGCTTTAGATTAACTGTGCTATTTGAATTTATATAGTTAATTCTTTATAAGAGGGCAGTGCTTAAGGCAAGCATTCTTTACTAATTGAGCTAAATTGTAGTTTAATTTAATGATGGCTTCTTAGGATAGCTTTGGTTTAAGATTTAAAGATTCTTTGCAGGCAATAGATTCAGGAGTCCCCTCAGTGTCAATGAATCTAGTAAGTATGGTTTCCATATGATCTGGCTTATCTTTTCCCTGCCTGAACCACCCATTTCATTTCAAACACATTTCTTACCTTTGTGCTTTTGTTTCTGTTATTTGACCTCATTTCCTCATGTTTTAAGATCAACTCAAATCCAACTGTTATACCTGATTCATTTCCTCGCTAGGCTAGGGTTTCAACAACAGCACTATGGACATTTTGGACCAGATACATCGTTGTTGTGGGAGCCTGTCTGTGCAATCTAAGATGTTTAGCAGCATTCCTGGCTTCCACCCCCTAGATGCCAGTGGCACCCACTGCATTCCCTGTCATGAAAAAAAGTAAAAATCTACAAACATTGCAAAATGCCCCCTGAGGAAAAAAAGTAATTCCCAGTTGAGAACCACTGCTCTGCCACTGTAACTTCCATTCTTTTCCAAACTCTGACAACACTTTTTGTCTTTACCAAATTATTTAGCATTAAAGATAGCTATAGCTTGTCTTATGTTCTTTACTATTGGAGAATGCCACATAGTAGTTGCAAAAGGGGCAAGGAGGTGGCATCTTTTGACCTCCTCTAACTATACAAGAGAAGGACAGGAGGAGGACAGAATCGCTATCAGCAGCCTAAGGCCTATTCCTGCAAGGCCAGACATACCGCCTCCCTCCAACTCTTTCACCAACCCTGACACCAACCGTTCTTCCTGCAGCACCCGCCACCTGTCTGCTGGGTTTGATAATTCACTGCAGTGGCCATACAGAACTCACAGATTATGGGGTTTATTAGGGAAGCAGCAGGCTACAGTTCAAGTTCAGAAACATGCTCAGTCTCTTGCAGCTGGACATCTCAGCAGCTGGCAGTCTCTCTTAGTCTCTCATCCTTCGTGTCTCTGTCAGCAGCGCATGTCTCCTGTGTGTCTCATGTCTCTCTCTGCAAGTGTGTCTCTCTTAGTACGTCTTTCAGCAGTGAGATTCTCTCAGCAGTGGGTCTCTCTCAGCTGGCAGTCAGAGAGACTCTGCCTCTAGGAGGGCTCCTTTTGAACTTGGCAGAGTGGCCAAACTAACCAATCCTAACATCAGAATTCTGTACACCTTAGAGAGAGCAAACTTCCCATAAGATTGCATCCTACTGTTCAACAGAAATATACCAGGTGGCTAACTTTAATAGTCAGCTACTCAGATGCTCATGGCAAAGTGAGAGTTACAAAGATTATGGTTAGAAAAACCATACCACGTAATTTACTGCACCACCATGTTGTTGTTGTTGTTGTTTTGCCGTCGAGTCGGCCCCGACTCATAGCGACCCCGCCTTGGGTTTCTGAGGCAGTATCACTACGGAAGTAGGATTGCCCAACCTTCCTTCCGAGGAGTGGCTGGTGGGTTTGAACCGCCAGCCGTCTGGTTAGCAGGCAAGTGTCTTAGTGCTTAATAATTAATACTTGTTGAATTAAAAATAAGTAAGTTGCACTTGCTCAGGCCATTATTATAAAGCTCTTTTAGCTTTACCAATAGGTGTCCAAAGAGGCACCCCACTCTGCCAGCACGTTTCCTGTTTCAAAGCACTCAACTTTCTTAATCCTTGGGCCCGAAAGCCCAGTGTTTTGTCTCATACCTGTCTCTTGGTTTTGCTGCTTCTGCTGCTGCCTTCTGTTTGCCATCTCTGCACATGGATCACAGGTCCAAGTGATGTGCTTCACTCCTGGCTCTTCTCGCTTGATGATAGTAAGATCCTCCTTTCCACTTCTGGGATAGGTCATTTTAAGCCTAGTGGAATGACAAAACTGACCAAGTCCATGTTAAGGTTCCATATATCTTATTTGCATGGTCATACCCCTGCAAGGGTGTTATGTACCTTATTACATTATTAGTAAGCTATCCAATCCTCTTGGTAGGCCATAACCACCTCACATTTGCGTATTTCCACTCAGTCATCTGGTGGGAGTCACAAAGACCATGACTAACGCACTGCCATCGAGTTTGATCCAACTCATGGCGACCCCTCCTTGGGTTTCCGAGGCAGTATTGCTGAGGAAGTAGGTTGCCCAGCCTTTCTTCCGAGGAGTGGCTGGTCTGGTTAGCAGTCAAATGCTTTAGGCACTACGCCACCAGAGCTCCCTAAATAATAACCCAGTTTGTTTCCACCGTGCTTGAAGAGCCATATTAATTAATTCACTGTATCACACTTGTACAAACCTGGCATTCTAACTCACTATTGGAATTGAGTATGCATCATGTACCTCAAATTCAGCATGTTAAAACCATGCTCAAGCTTTTCTCCACAAGTATGCTTTTCTTCTTGTATCACGCAGGTCAAGAAGTAGAGAGTCAGTATTCTTTACTCCTCTAGTTGCAATATTCTGCATTCTAAACGACAAACATACAGTGTCTGCTCTGCGTTAAAGGAGCCTTGGTGGTGCAGTGGTTAAGCAGTCAGCTGATAACCAAAAGGTTGACAGTTCAAACGTCCCAGCCGCTCTGCAAGAGAAAAGACCTGGCAATCAGTTCCCATAAAGATTACAGCCTTGGGAATCCTATGGAGCAGTTCTACTCTGTCCTGTAGGGTTGCTATGAGTCAGAATGGACTCAGTGGCAGTGGGTTTGGTTTAATACACTAGCCTCTTGTTTTCTATGCTCAAGTCTGTGCCAGTTAGTCATTTTCTAGACTGCTGACAGTAATATTTCTAAAATATAAATATAATCATATGACTCATCTGATGAAAATATTTCAACAAATCTCTACAGGTTTCATGTCATTTGAACTTTGCATTATAGCATGTAAGCCCTTTTTGCTTTTGACTCCTTTATACCTCCCCAGCCTTACCTTCCATCACTTTCCTAATGGCATATTTTACTCCTTATTGGTTTTGCACTACTAATGTGGTTCCTCTGGCCTGACATAGCCTTCTCTTCATTAATCCTCATTAGGCTTTTTTTTTTTTTTTATTTTTTAAGGAGATGATGTATATAATCACTTAGTACAGTACTTGACATATAGTAAGCAGTGGATA